AGGAAGTTTGAGAGTAGCCCCCGTAGTAGAGAAGGTAAGGAGTAAAAGGTTAGCATGGTATGGGCATGTTATGAGAAGGGATGAATCGCATATTATAAGGAGAACGGTAATTATGAGTGTGGAAGGGTACATCGGTAGAGGTAGACCTAGAAAGAGATGGATGGATTGTGTAAAAGGTGACATGATCAAGAAGGGAGTGATGACTGAGATGACGTATGATAGAGTTATGTGGAGGACAAAAATCTGTTGCGCCGACCCTACGGGAGTAGGATACGGGGTTGATGATTAACCTTAATTAGGATATAGAGACAAGCACATTTCGAATATTTAAAAAGGTTTAGAATGAAAAACTATGCAATCACATTCCTGAATTGACCAATCATTATTATATGTAAGCCAACACACCAACCTTTTTAAGATAAAAAGTATATTATCATTTTTAATAGTAAGCAAGCCAGATTAGGCCAGCAATGAAGCTATACGTATTGTTTGGTCATTGAAGAATGTAAATCATATTCCACCAACCTGGTAATGGTAACTTTTACTGGAAAGTAAAGAACAAGCAAGATTTGGTTGTCACGAGGTATCCTGAATCCTATATTAAATAATTCACCAATATAAAAGATTTATCCTTATATTTGGATTGTCAGACGCCATAAACCTCCTGTAAAATGATGTGCTAGATCGCCAGATCTCACGTCCAGTGATTTTTTATGGGTTGCCTCATACAACGGAGAGCGATTCGAATCGTCAACGACCGAGCTCTTACCGATCTGCTAGATCGCCTGACTTTACGGAGAGACGTCCTTTCCCTGTGCATTTTTTACCGCATTTACCACGAGGAGTGTTCCGAGGAGTGGCTTGGAATGATTCCTGCCGCCGAATTTCATCGTCAAACGACACGATAGACTGGCACTCAATAACCGTGCGGTTTTTGCAGTACTTTTTGCGTCGCATAACCGCGTTGTGGAACGGTCTATCCTCGGCGGTAATTCCAAACCAATACGACTTGGAATTACACTTAGGGTCTATCAGAAAACGAGCCTATCATTTCCTCAAAGGCCGGCAACGCATCTCTGGTTCCTCTGATGCGGATGTCCATGGGCGTTGTTAACCACCTCGGTGTTCTCGCCACTCGTTTGCCCCTTTTATTACAAAAAAAAAACCCATACCACTCTAACCTTTTACTCCTTATTTAATTTTTAAATATATAAAACATAATTATGTTTTTCTATTCTCAACCTATCTTACTGATAAGATTATGTTGGTATTGGGTGTCCCGAAATTTATTTCCAACGATATGGTATTAGTAATCGAAACACTTAAATTTCGATTCGTTTCATGAATTCTCTAAAGCTCGCTACACACCTTCTATCTGAACAATCTTAAGCCCGCTATACACATTCAGTTTTAACTGAACAGTTGAACTGTACAATTAAATCATACGTATCAAGTAATCAAACATAAACATATCAAACAAAAAGAGAACTGTACAGTTAAGTCATATCATCTATACAGTTCTCTTTTCTGTTTGATTTAGCCTACATAGGTAAATTTTAACCGTACAGTTATAAACAGTGCAGTTAAAACAGAAAGTTCAATAAAATCGTACGTGTGTAGGCAACGTAACTAAAATATGAATGAAAACGAGAAAACTTTATTGATAAAATCAGTTGTACAATAAATCATATCAATCGTAACTGTTACTTCAACTATACAGTTCCCAGTTTTGTCAACACAAGTACCCTTAACAATCAGACTTTTCAGTTAAAACGGTATGAACAGGCAGTTTAGCTATTCGCTACTGCTATAAAAGTCTCGTGTACCATTGCTACTAGCGCGACCACTTCTTAACAAAATGTCCATCGTTTGTATAAAACTAAGAAGCTTTTTAAAATATTTTTAAGGCACAAACAATCTCTGACATAAAGTGCCTCTACCTAGTGAATTGCAACATGTAATCACAATTTCCCCCTAGTTTATTAACGAACGTTCTGTCGCCCGCAAACTTCGTTAGCGCAAATTTGGACCACCCGTTACGCCATTTTAACAGCGCGGAATTTAAAAAAAAGTAACCTATAATATGCCCGTCTATGTCAGCTATCCTTCAGTGAAAGTCTGGTCGAAATCGGCCCAGCCGTTTCGGAGGTTACCCGACACAAATGCGGTTTGCGGATAGACAGACAGACAACATTTTTTTAAATGCAATTTTCATTATCAGCAACGCAAATTTATCATATTCCTGAAATCTGGAATTTTTATTTTGATATTACATACACACACTCCAAATTTTTTATAAGTATAGAGTTTAGATAGCTAGATAGATTTGGGACAAGAATATATTTATTTAAATTAAATATAAAACTTTAGTTATAAACCATTTACATGTCTCAAAACAATAACATCATACACAATATCTCCGTAAATGATAACTCATGTGTATTTAAAATTACGATCTCGTTGTCAAACCGCACCTTCAAAAGGCTTTAGAAGTTATACAATACGATGTTTTTCCTCACAATTATTTCACGTTAATATGAAAATACTCGGTATTCATAATCGTATTATTGTACAGAAACAAATAAAAAGAAACTCTTGTCGGCAACCCTATAAAAACATATATGACTTCTAAATATTGCCTTTGTTATAAATCAATTCCATTATAAAATATAAACTAATAGCTGATTTTAATTTTGTATGTTTTGTCTATTATATACAGTAGATAGTTTT